GCAACGAGAGATTGCGGAGCACACTTCCGATATATCAGCGGCAGGTTCCTTCCTTGAGAGAGATAACAAACAGGCTGATTCGTCACCGGAGAATCATTGACCTGCAGCTTGCTAGAGTGAATATTCCAGTGCAGCTCGAGGAAGAAAAAATGCTTGAACGGCAAGAAGTCCTCCGTAAGCTCCGAGCCCAGAGTTTGACGACGCAGAATATACTGAATGGTCTCCAGAATCGTTTCCTGATCAAATCCGCCGACCCTGTGTCGGCGTGTGTGAGGGGCTTGTCCGTTCCCGTCGTTCGTTCGTCGTCTCCGTCGTCTCCTGTCCCTGCGCCCACCCTTTCCCTAGGCCAGTCGTCTCCTGTCCCTGCGCTCCCCCTTTCCCTGGGCCCGTCTCCCCTCCTCCCCTTTCCCCCTCTTCCCTTGGCCCGTCGCCGCTCCCCCCCCACTTTCCCAGGGCCTCCCCCTCAAGAGCAACGTTGTCGTTCAGTCGAAGGGGAGCCCCTTCCCTTTGATCCCTTCCCTGCTGGGGGGGGGGTCCCGGGGGGGGTCCCGGGGGGAGTCCCAGGGGGGTCCAGGGGGGTCCCGCGTCAGATACGACTCCCCCCCTGGGAGTCCCAGGGCCCACACAAAGCCTCAGACGGGAATATTGGGACGACAGCCAGCTGTTTCCATGCTGCTATCAAGAACGCAAGACTGGTCAATCAGAACGCGTTCCCCATCTTCACGTGGGTCCAATCCGTGGGAATCAGATAACGCAAGCCCGCAACAGATCAGTCGATCGGAGCAGACGGGGGCGAGGGTGAGGACTATCATCAGGGATGGGGTCATGGCGAGCAGCAGCCCACGATTCGCAGGCGGGGGTCACGAAGAACCCCGCAACCAGCCCGTCTGCCACGAGGCGATTGCAATACGCCACGGTCGACACGTCCGACAGATCACAAGGTGGAGGGTAGTGCGTTATCTCAACGGCAACAACCAGGGATCCTGAGCATCGGGGAACCAATTTTGCACACCAACCCGGAAAATCCCACTTGCGGCGTTGGTCCGAGAACGGATGCAACCGGCAACGATATGGTCTAGAAAGCGGAGATCTAATCATGAAAGGGGGAACAAGGCGGCGTTTGCGGCGGGGGGCACCGTGGGCGCGAACAAAGGGGCGTCCTGCCCAGGAATTCTTGGGCCCCACACCAGACACGCCAAGCGTCGCCCAGGGAGGTGAACACATCATACATGTTGAGCCCTTGGCACGCTGACCATGCTGCTCCACATGGCGGGTGTCCCGAGCTACTTCGATCACCTCAGGCGCGGGTCTACAGCCCCAGGCCAACAGTCCTCGACTGCATAGCAATGGCGACCGCAGTATGCTTGCCCAGACAGACATCAGAACCAGAATCCCACCCACGAAGTTGACAAACCATGCCAGTGTCCACCATGGGCGGGAAACATACTTGTGGGTGCGAAATTGCCTCTATGTGCTCGGGGATGGTGATAGCGAGTGGGCTTCCCTGCATTCGTAGCACAGCAAGGGAGCAAACGCAATGGGCCCCTCGTCGTTCATGGGCGTACCGTCACCACGTGCGCCTACCCATCCCTGGTCCTCCTCCACTTATCGTCTTCCTTGTTCTCATCCTCCTCCTCATCATCATCTTCATTATCATCAGCATCATCAACACCACCAAAAACCAGCACCAAAATCATCATCATCCTCATTATCATGAATATTATTATCAGTATCACTATCAATTAGCATAACCATCATCATCACCATCATCGGCATCATCGTCATGGGCGTCGTCGAATTCATCAGCATTACCGCCATCACCAGCACCAAAATTACCATCAGCAGCAACAGCAGCATCAGAACCATCACCAACACCACAATCATAATCATCGTCGTGAACATCATCACCAACACAATCATCAGAATGATCATCATCACAATCACCAGCACCACAATCATCATCAACATCACTACCACCACCATAATCATCATCATCATCATCATCATCATCGTCATCAACATCATCATCGTCATCAGCATCAGCATAGTCATCATCACCAGCACCACAATCATCGTTGTCATCATCATCATCATCATCATCATCATCATCATCATCATCATCTGCACCATCATCATTAGCACCATATCATCATCGTCAGCATCGTCACCATCATCAGCACCACAATCAGCATCAGCAGTAGCATCATCAACACAAGCACCACAATCGTCAGCATCGTCATCATCATCATCATCATCATCATCATCATCATCATCATCATCATCATCATCATCATCATCGTCAACACCACTATGATCACCATCATCCTCTGTTCAATCACAAGACCACAAGCATCATCATCATGACCATCATCATCACCAGCATCACCAACACCACCACCGCCACAATCAACATCATCAGCATCATCAGCATCATCAGTGTCGACATCATCATCATCATTATCATCATCATCATCGTCATCATCGTCATCATCACCACCAC